TCGATGATTTTTATCAATGCCAAACAAATACTGGAGCAGTACTCTACCAAACGGTTTTCGTATTGGTAACGCACTGCAAAGGAACCTCCTTGACAGGAAGTCGGGCGCCAGCCTGGCGGCGGGTTAGAGGGTAGGCAAACGCCCGCGCCGTTAGTTCTACAAGCCGGAGAGCCTGCGAAGGTCGTAGCGAAGGGGGCGGAAACTTCCTGGAGTATTTTGGGAGCGTTCAGAAATCCAAGGGAGGGTTGCTTAAACCGCGTGGCGGTGTGGCGATCACGTGGTGTTGGTCGCCGCGTGAACGCATGATGACGTCGCATGTGACGTTGTTTAAAGGTATTTAAGTAAGAGCGCAAGGGGCGGGAGTGGGTTTTGAGTTAAGTGGAAACCTCGTGCGGATGCACTAAACTTGTGCCCAGGGTGGTGCGGAGACGAGCGGTGCTCGTAGGGCAACCCAGGTGTTGGGAAGCCGCGGTGAAACGTCTTTTCCACGAGTTACTGCGGTCACGGAGTATTACGCTGTGTGCATAAGCCAGGTCTGCACAGCATTTTGCACTTTGTCTGACCTCGAGAGCCGCCCGCGAGCCACTCTAGTGCAACTGCGGAGAAATTTGAGGGGTGGGGATGAGGCAAATTCTAGGAGTGGGCACTACCCATTAGAATGCGCTCGCGCAGCGAATCTTGTCTAAAGGAGAAATATCTTGTGTATGTGCCGTGGTTTATTATTTTCTTGCTACCGCTTACGCAGTGGAAATAAAGTTATGTAATGCTGCGCGAAAAAAGGCGAATGATCGACAAAAAACTCTTATTGTCGGGCCCTGATAACGAAAAAGCGAATAAATCCTGTTGCAAAATTTAGGAAAAGCCCTCTAACACGAAGTGTAGCCAGAATCCAGGTTTTGTGGGTCTTTGATACCAACCCTTTGAACCATACGTAGGATGTTTTCCAAAATCGATTTCCTAATAGTAGAACCGAAATATTAGTATAATAATAAAGAAGAGTTTAATCAAAACTGTAAATGCGAAATTTGAAGATCTTTTTCACAGAAAATGTTTTAGCTATCGAGACACTATTGGACGTCATTTGAAGCATTGCCTTTCACTGTCCGTATTTATTAACATTAATTTAGGCGTTCCATGAATTTAACGGCACTTCAATCTCACTCCCTTCAGTAAAATCCTCACAATAGTCTTAAACTAAAATGAAATATTCGGCTAGTTTAGATTAATTTCTGGATTGTTTATTAAAAACTTGTGCGATATTTTGCTCTCTTTCGTAACCTTGTGACGTCATTGACCATATTATCTTACTTACTTTAACGTTCCTTCGTATAGAAATCGAGGCAGTGCCCTAGATTGAATAACTTCGTACCTTAAACAACAATTGCAAAAGCAAAAATGCCGTGCTAGCACGAAAGAACATTATTTACCCATCTGCCCAATTCTTTGTCAATTGTGCAAGGGGTCCCGAATAGTTCGATCTTAGGTCCTCTGCACATTCTTGTATACGTAAATAATATGCCCTCATCCATTAAAAATGGAAGATCAGATATGTTTGCTGTTGACACGAATATTATTTTCGCAAATATGCAATAAATAATACACTCACAGTGGTTTCAATTTGGTTTCGTAATAACATATTAAGAAATAATTAACGAAAGAAAACTGTTTCAATGCACTTTTGCATTTCCAACTGGCAATCGCACGCGTCATTTAAAATGAACAATATGCAATTAGCTGCTGTTAACGTAACAAATTGTTTGTTCTCTCAGTTCAGTCAGACCTAAAATGAAATAACCATGTAACTAAATTAAACACTAAATTAAGTTCATTATATTACACATTCAGAGTTCTTTAAATTCGTCAACCTTAATGAAGATCGTTGCATGCATTTTGCAAATGCACATTCCCACCTGAGATATGTCATAATATTCTAGGGTAACTCATCCAATGGTGCCCGGACTTATAATAATAATAATAACAATAATAATAATAATAATGATAATAATAATAATAATAATAATAATAATAATAATAATAATAATAATAATAATAATAATAATTTTGTCAAAACCAACTTAACGGTTTGAAGATATTTTCTTGCAATACTGAGGTTTATAATTGCACGTAGAAATAATATTCACCAGGTGTTGTGTAGAAATAATGTTCACCAGGCAGAGTTGTTGGGGAGGTCGCCGCAAGTGTCAGGGTTTGGCCCATCATGTCCCTCACATGCTCCACCGGGAACAAATACGGCGAGCCCGCAGGCCAGGGCAGTTTACGAACATCGCGGAGAGCGTGTTGCGTGGGCAGTGTGAGCCCTGCTGAAACAGCGCACCACCGTTCCATTGCAAGAAAGGTATCAGCACAGGCCGCACAACGTGCTAGATGTATACAGCGTTGGTCAATGATCTCTTCACGAACACTAAAGACGAACACGCGTTGTTGCTGATGACACCACACCATCACTCCTGGGGTGGACCCTACGTGACATGGACGAACGCACTCTGGACGCACGCGTTTGCCTGTGCGACGCCACTCACGCCCACAACCATCACTAGCGTGCAGGCGAAAGTGGCTTTCATCACTGAACACCACTGCACGCCATTCCGTCTCTTGCCGTCATGTGCTGACCCGCACATTGCACCACGCCAGACTCGACAATTGTTCGCAAGTTCGGTCGGAGTGGCAGTCGGGCTAGCGGTATGTGCGATTATAATCCTGCAACGAGTAACCGGATCCCAACGGTGCGTGGAGACACGTTGGGGGCCACACGTTCCGTGCATCTCGTCATGGGTGGCCACACGGTCTGCCAACGCCGCCCTCACGATGCGTCGATTTTGACGTTCGTCAGTACTACACGGTCGCTCCGAAGTGGGTCTACTGCTATAGGAATGATCGTTTACCCATCGTCGCCAGCACTGCGGCACCATCGCACCGCGGCCCATGTGATCAGCAACGCGCCGAAAGGATCACCCGGCTTCACGCCGGCCTACAATCCGGCAGAGTCCCATCTAGATCTTATCGCAGTGGACAGAGCCTTTGGAAGCCGCGAAGTAGATGGCGCGTCCGGGCCATTTCGTCAGGCTGCCATTTCACCGGAAGTCAGTCACCCGTGAAATGTTAATAGTAAAGTTTCGATGACCCCCCCCCCTTCCCCCAACCCTATCGTCGCTTAGCGCCTACTTGATTTTTCGGGCCCATCCCGGTGTTGCAATACTTTTTTTCCGCCAGTGTATGTAAGCGCTTTCCTAACCGGGATTTTAATGCTCCTAAGTACGTATAGTGATTGTAAAATTATTGAACTTTGTTTAAAATTGTATTGTTCATGTACGTATACATTCGACTATGTATTAATTATGTTATTTACATTTTTATTTATGTAATTGTATGTTTGACTAACTGCTACGTTGTTCAACCTTGTATATTTTAGTCTTCTACATTGAAATATCTCATTAAGAAAGCGAAGAAATTTCCCTTCGCCCCGGGCGGCTGACACCCACGCTTCGCCACTGCCAACAAGACTTCCATTTGTTTTCCAACCTGGCAAACTGGTCCCTTCTTAGACTAATTTCTGTATAATACATGTACGTAACTTTACATTACATTGCCAGATTAAACAATTAAAACTGATCCACAAATTTAAGTTCAAGATAATTTTTTTTTGCATAACTGTTTCTGTACGATATAGATTATGCTGACGATCAAAAGGAAATATTTATTTCAATAATGATATGTAAAGCATGAGTTAACACTTGTTTTATAATGATACAAAATATTTACCATTCCTGTAGCAAGTTATATACTTCAGCTTCTGGGTCAATGACTTCCATCTCGATCGGGATTTTGTCCAGTTTCCCAGACTCATTGAGCTGATGATAAGATGACTCCTTGTTTTTCTTCTGGACATAAATGTAACTTCACTATGCACACCTTTTGGTTGAGCTCTCCTTTTGTGAGTGAGGATTTTAGTGATCGGAAAAGAGGAAGGAGGAAAAAGACATGTGAGAGAGCATAGAGGATAAGATAAGACAGGAATAAGTTTGAGATTTATCACACCACGGATAAGTACGGCGTCCATCTAATGCTTAACACTGAGCAAACGAGCTATAGGAATGTCGTTAACAACTATTTTGATGAATCCGTATAGTGACCTCATTCATATGCTTTTGAAAAGTGCTGCTCTTTATTTATAGTTGAGAGAATATTGTTCCAAGCGTGGACAGCAGTTACTGTGACAGTGAATGACTTGCTAAAAGGGCGGTAGGAGAGTGGGTGGTGTGGAGAGCACTGTTTAAAATTTTGTAGAGAAGGATATCGCTGTGAAGTAAACGCCTTTTATCAACGGTTAAAATTTTAGAATTTTAGAATTTTAAAATTTTAGAAAGTTGAAATAACGTATTTTTTAAGGTCAAAATAAAAGTAATATAAACATTTTAAGCTACTCGTATTTTATATTTCTGTCTAAATTTTATCAGTCAGTAAGAAATCGCAGTAATCAGAGTGAGGTATAAGAAACCATTGTGCAAGGGCCTGACGAGTTTTTGTAGGTAAAAAAGTACGCATGCGTTATAAAACGTGCAAGGACGCGAATACTTGACACATTTTACCAATTTGAACATTGCAGTTTAGAGTATTATCCATATGCACACCTAAATTTCTCAAGTTGTTACACCATGGAAGAGGAGTTCCATGGTGTAACAATGGTGTTCAAGCCATTCTGTTTGAAACTATAAAATGTATAATCCGTTTTAAATGATACGTAAATAATGCTTGGGTAAAATTCTTAATCTGACATTTTGAGACGTGCTTAAAATTTTTTTTAAGAACCCACATACTTCTTGTTACTTATGTTTCATGAAAGAGTACTGCACAATTGTCAAATTGCTCCGATTATTGTGTGTTGAATTATTGTTAAATGACTTGAATTATTGTATATTTTTTATCAGATGGAAGTTTCAATTATATATGAATTTTGTATTGATATTGTTAATTATTTCCAGAATGATGTTAAAACAGAGAGAGGCACCAACTCCGATCCTGTACTTTGGTTTGATCGTTTAGCTGCAGTTTTTAGACATACAAAACCACCAGTTGACAATGGCGCTGTGCATCCTTGTCAGCCCGTAATAACAGAGGTAGGAAGGATATCATGCTTTATTCTATTGTTTTATGAGTATTTGTTTTACTTTTATTGTCAATAGATAATGTACACCATCCATAAGTGAGTTAATGTGTTTTCTTTGTGAGGCGACTTTCGTTATTCCACCAGTTAGGTTCGAAGTCTTAATACCACAAAAATACAGCGTGGCCACCAAAACCCGAAGAAAAAAAGCGAAAATTTGATAAAGCGTGGAAAAACGGGAATTTGATTTGAAAATTTGGAAATTTATCGCCAACATTTATCACGCATGTCATCATATGAAGTAAAGCGAATGATTCAATTCAGCAGTTGATAATGACATGTAGTGAATTATTAGATTTATTATTACGAACCTACATTATTATTACGAAAGTCTTGGGAATTCGAAAACATTTCACATTTTAATACTATCAAAATCAAACGAAATGTAATCGTTTTTTTAATCAGAAGATTAAATGTTATCTATCCATATAAAATACATTGTTCTGAGTAAAAGAAATGCCTTTTTGAAATAACTCTCGTAATTTAAATGTATGCGAAAACAACTAAGATTCTAATTACTATTACTAATCATCTTTTAAAAAAATTGCATTTCAGAATCGATTGTTTTATACGAAATTAAGAAAATTAAGATGCCAGGGAACGTTTGAAGCAAATATCAAAATTTATTGATTCCGAATATTCAAAGGTGTTTTTTTAAGGGAAATCTTACAATATTATTAAGCTCACTTTTCCATATTTCCGAGTTATTAATCAAAGGAAAATGAACCTATTAGAATTTTGAAAATGGGCATCAGATAATAAAGTGATCCTCAAAATTCGTGACGTTCCATGTTTAGTCATGCCGATAACTGAATATCCACTTTGAAGAAACATTCTGATTTCCTTGACATCAATCTGGATTTTAACTTTCCAAATGGAAAGAAAAAAAAAATCCTAAGCATTTCAAGCAGTCTGAAATGTATTAGAATCATACGTTTTCTAGAAAAACAAAAAATCCGAGATTTCTTTAAAGCTTTTTTTTTTTCACTTTCTCGCCTTACGAAGTACTTCGTAAGTAGAGAAAATTATGTAATCGTGCGCCGGAAAACTGCAAATTTTTGTACAATATACAATGGTTTAGTACTCAGACGCGAGAAAAAAGTGTGCGAGTAGCATAGTACGGTTCAGAACTAACAGAACGAAATGTGTTGTAATGTACGAAATAGAACCTGAAAATCTAAGGGAAAACTTTTGAATTAAAAAACAACAAAAAAACAGGTTGGTGTTATCCCTGAAATAGGTATAGAAAGGATCTGCAAAATTTGATTTTCTGTGAATTGAAACCTTTTGTGTGAAATAATAAATTGAATTATATTTTTTGTAATTTATAGATTTGGCCCGTTCTCTCGAAAGCATGCAACAAATACCAGGGTGACATCAGAGTGATGGAGCGATGTTGTCGATGCTTACGTTTTGCTGTTCGTTGTGTTGGAAAACAGTCTGCTCATCTCTTGGAGCCATTGGTTCAGCAGGTAGGTACAGTGCAGTGGTTTTGCCCATTTGAAGTAATTCATTACTTTTGAAGCTGGAGTTTTTAAATTAAAATGGTGTTTTAAACCGTTTTTACGCTTAATAAACAATGATGCAAAAATTATTTGTTTCGTGTGGTTGTGTGGGAAGCTACAGATACAGATAAAAAATGTATTTATATTTTTTTTATAAAAAATGCTCATATGTGCTGGATTTAATATGTATATTTATTTGATTTGTTGTTATTTAAAACTATTAATATAATGACATTTATTTATATTATTTGTAAGTTATGTGGGTGGGGGTGCTTACCTAGATATTAACCCTTAACTGATAATAATCTCACAATCTCTTTACAGTTTTACACTACTTATTTATATTATTTACACACTTTAATACTTATAATCTAATCATAAACTTACATACAAATGCTTACACACACTGTAAAAATGTGTGCATTACTTTTAATGTAGAAGTACATAAAAGTAATTATCATGTATGCACATTAAAATTAATGTACATGTACAGTAACTTTAAAGTATGTGTACACTAAATATAGTGAATGTGTTCATTAAATTTAATGTACACATCTATATTAAATTTACTGTATGTGTACATTAAATTTACTGTATGCGTACATAAAACCAGGTGAATACAGCGAGAAGATTCCTTTGAACAACTTAGTCATGAACCTTGTAACATGGCGGCTGGGAAGTATTTTACAATACGTGTTTAAAAAGTGCCTTTTGAACTCTTGTCATATTTGGGATATTTCCACAATACATATTTATACCTCTTCTCGAGTGTAGTCAGTATATTCAATAAAATCGGTGCAAAACCGAGGAAGTTATCACTTGAGACACCATGTTAATGAATATCAGGATGGAGCCATGTAACACCCAAAATTCTCAATGGTACGAAACAAAATATGAAAACAAAAATTAAGTATGCAGAGTAGTAATTGAGAACTGGTGAACATTACAACCCCTAAAACCGTTCTTATGCAAATGAATGGGGACTCATTGAATGTACGAATGAAGGTTTAACCTTCAGAATACTAACAATAATAAGAGCTTATCTTAAGTGAATATCAGATAATAGAACAATAACATAGGGTTGCTACATTTTGGTTTCTGATGAGTGAATTTTATTGATTTGTGTTAATACTTTATAGATATGAAATCCATTTACTTCGCCATATAAAGATTTTTTTTTTGTAATGTCTAAGGCAAAAAAGTGTTAAACAAAAATTGGTGTTTATGTTCATTTATTTCAACATATACGGACATATAGTCCATTATACAACAAAATTAAAGAATACATGTAAAATGTGGTGTCGCCAATGCTGTAAACTCTTTTAAAACTAGTTTCAAAGTGTTGAAAATTTCTTTCATGTCCAGCATTGTTCAAATATGTTATTTCAGTATCTGGCATTGGACTTACCAATGAATCATGGTAACTGTCATAATGTTATACTCTCATTCAAAAGTACCCAACACTCAATAGACTTGCATGTTACCTCCCTACGAGATATAAACAGTTCTTATTCCAATTTCAAAATTATAAGCGCTGTAACTATTAATTGTAGGTTTGGATGATGCCAATAGTTAAATTTTAGTACAGCTACTGTTTTTTGATATTTTGCTAGTATGCACAAAAATGCACATAGCACATTTGCATTAGTACAAATGCTTAACGCAAAAATTTCATTCCCAATTAGTTCCGAAAATTCTGTCGCAACATCTTTTACAACTACATTTGATTCCTCCCTGAATTTCCTTAACATTTTTTTCTCCCTTAATTTTTATATTTTTCTCCCTTAGTTTTTGATGAGATTAAAACTTCACAAACTCAATCTAAGTCTCTTCACTTCTCCTTCTGCAATTGCGCCATTTCACGTCAAATCACAGAAATTTAATGAACATTTGACCTTGATGTCCCAGATGATTATACTTTTTTCTGTGAAGAGTATAAGCAAAAATATGAAACGTGTGTTTTTCATTTATTCCCAAATAATATTTTTCGAGGTTATATTAATTTTCAAAATTTTCGAAAATATGCTCACATCGCTTAAGTTAATAATTTTTAACTTGTGTTGTAATTGAAACAGAAATTTAATATTTTGCGGTATTAAATAACAAATGATGTTCTTTCATTTGGTGTACATATTGAATTTATAAATTTAAAAATAATCATATTTTGACCTTTTTTTAAATTTCTCCCAATATCGACAGTTTAAAGGTTTGAAAAAATACCATTCTAATCTCCAAAAAGTTCTACATAGGTTTGGTAAGGTACTAAGTGGACATTGAAATAATTTTGAGAAATGAAATACATTAGAAATGTGCACTTGATGTTTTGCTACACGATGTGTGCTAGATCGTCACCCCTCAAGCACATATCTCAACACTAGACCTTCAATATACTTTCAGAGAGCAAGAAATAGAAGTATCCCTTCACACATGACCTTCATAGCTGATTAAACTCAAATTGGAAAGCATCAAACGGATTCAATTTTGTATTAAACAGACAGAATATTTATACAAATAAGAGTTTGTGGTACAGTTACTTTCCTTGATATTTCTTTTACTTTACTTGACAGAGAATATATTTAATTCACCTTTTTATAAAGAAATGAAACTATGTATTATCATTGTGCCTCCTACTGTGTTTTTATTTTGTCATTGTAGCAATAGTCCTCTTTCTAAGTATTGTTCTTCACATTATCATCAGCCCACTTAAATATCTTCTTTGATAAATCAATAGGTTTCTGACATGATTAATTGCTAGCTTTTATTGGGAATATTATAGTTGTCCCCACCTCTCTACGTCATATGGACCCTTTCCATAAAACGTTGCGAAGTGAGGAAATGACATTCAACGCTTAAATTGTAGGCATCTTTGTGGCGTAAACTCGCATTGTTTTGTAATACTAGGCACTGACCCATCCGAAAAATATGTCTGTTAACACTGTCATAATCATACTTGAGAAATGTTATGAGTTTACACTGAAATGGATAAATTGAATTCGTGTCGTGATTCAGTCATGCAGATTTTCTTTTAAATTATTCTCTGAAATATTGCACAAAAGGATGCAGAGTAACTAATACACAATAGTATATGAATGACATCTTGAAATACGAAAGAATATAATCTTCAAAAATTGCACTGGACAATGGAAACTCACAGCGTTATATTTTATTTTTATCTCGTGAAGAGAACCGAAGACGGCAAACGACGGGCGGAAATAGCAGAAGAAACAAGACGAACTTACTCGGTCAGTTTCTGTTAGATTAGGGTGACCAGGACCAGCGGTTAACATTTATTCATCATTGTCAATGTCCAACATATTTGCGGCATTAACGAGTATGGTCATACTGTCTTTCTTGAAAAACTTCACTTTACTTGTCACGAGAAGGAATTTTGAAAATCAGTTTTTCCAATGCACACAGCTTTTTTTGACGGCAAACTGAATTTTCAACTCCTCAAGAATGCTGGTTGTAACAACTCAAACGTACACTACTTCTGCAACTATAGATTTTCACATTTTAAAATTGCAAATAATAATAGTATTGATATTTTTGTAAGACTATCTGATGTTACTAACTTCACAGAACAACGCACATGTTTCGCGGATTCCTCTGTTTACGCAACTGACTCAGTATCCCTTTGACCAGGGGATCGATGCCGTTAAATCCCAGTATTCCTAGCCGTCACCCAACCAGGAACCCCCGAGTCTCAAATTTTCTTAAACTCCGTGACTTCACGGAGCCTAGTAAACGAATTCGGCTAGCGCCGCCGCAATCTTTTATTGTGGAAATTTTAATCTCTACGTCTGGAGGCACTGTTTAGCCGGCTATGTGTTGGACAGTGATGAGCTCCTACTTTCAAACCATTGATTTTTTGAAGTAAAGTTTTGCTCATATTTAAGAGAATAGTCATCTCTTTATTTTGTGCATCCACGTTTTAAATATGAATTTATGTACATTATTAAAAAGGTGCCTTTTATTGTTTTGTATACATTTTATTCAGTGAAGACCGTTTTTACTTTCTCGCCGTTAAGAAGGTATGGTCCCATTTTCAGCTATATATTATCATTTCGAAAATCGCAAAAAGTCTATTGTAAAAAATCAGCTCTTTAAAAAAGGTAATTTACAATTGTTTGAAACAAAACGAGCTGATTTCGCTTAAATAGTGCCTGAAACTTATGCAATATCCAAGAAAAATATTTTCTCAAAAACCTAAATTTTCTCATTAAAGTTTCTCCTCTTATGTAACTTGTGGTAAAAGGTACTAGTGGTGCAATGGAATGACGCCGAATTTCTCGCACTAGTTCGTTTTCTAATCTCTTTGGTTTCGACTATCTTTGGGGTTACGTCTTATTTTCTTCCCACCTGCCATCTTTTGCCACCCAAGGGATTTTTTTTACATTCTTTTAAATTTTCGGCTCCCTAATGCTAGAACTGAAACAGTCATGTCTTTATGATTTATAGAAGTGTGGAGCCCGTGTCCGACACGGATGGACGAAGTCCTTACATGGCGTGTACGGATTCAGCCCTTCGGTCCAAAATGTCCTGGGTTCGAGTCAAGTGCAGGGATTTTAATTTTTTACTTATCTCTCATTAATGTGTTGTTGCAGAAAACTATTGAGAATTCGAGTAACTTTATCGAAAATCATTTGAAGCACTTCTAATCAATACAGATAAATAATCCGGAAGTGTCTATACGTGATTTTCGAATTCACAACTTTTAAACAGCTTTTCAACTTTTATTCGATTTCTATAACGTATGTCACGTCATATCAATTGTCTGTCGATTTGTATGAGCCGATTTACTTAATCTATCAAAAGCGTGAAATTAGCAATATTTGATAAAACAAGACATTTTCGTTCCCGAGTTATAGAAAACTTATTTGCATCGGTAAACGAATTGCAGATACGATTTTTCTGCATTGCTAACAAAATAGTAACGCGCCTTACCTCTACTCTTACGATTACAAGCA